TATTAGGTTTTTTATTTTTAATAAATATTTTTCTATTACCTGAGTTTTTTATAACTAAAAATTTCCAAAGAATCTACCGATAAAATGTTCGAAAAGGTTGGCAACACGACAGATCACAGAAAACAACACTGTTTGCCTCACCTGGCAACACTGGCTGACCATATAAAAGGAGCGGCTAGAAGTTTGAAGAAATACAGCTGCGTTGCCAAGTTGTGCACCCACTATTAGACCAATTACAAAACGCGGTAGTTTTAAATTGCAATCATATTTCAAATATTTACCAGTGTTGGATTTTATAAATTGGCATGAATTAATGTATTTTGTGTCATAGAATAATACAAAGGAAAATAAAAAATGACAAGTATGTATGAGGGCGATTCCATTATTAGTAACGGCATAAGCAAAAAGAAAATACTTTTTATTTTACGTTTTCTTTGAAACTAACATAGATTTTTCCAGACTTCTTTGTGCAAATTATTAATTAATTTTATTGCTTGCTGAAGATCATAAAATTATTATTATAGAAAAAACACATCTTCAAAAATCGTCATTTTTTTTAGCCCTGTTAGTTATATTTCTATGGAAACATGTTTTGTCCTTATTAAAAAAGGCAAATGGAGAGTTTTGCATCTAGACGACTCATATGTAGATACCTACCCATATAATCTTTTTTTTTGCAATAACTTTGGAAGACAAATAATACCCACATAATTCTATTTATATATTTATTTCCAAAAAAACAATATAATAACAAGATAGAAGGATGAGCACTTTCAAAAGCGGTCATAAATGCTTTTAAATGCTCGAGCATTTGTGAGCACTTTGCAAAGGGCTCAAGCATATACCATCTATAATAACAAGTATAATATAATATAACAATAATATAGCATCATAATGTTTCAGGTACATTTAAGCAGAAATCAGACAAAACCAGACAAATAAGTCAAAAGCAAACGAATTCTTTTATTTTTTTATTTGTTTCTGCAAATCACTACAATGGATTTGTCTGGTTTTGTCTGATCGCTCCTCATTTAGAATCTCAAATCAGCCAAATGCTGATAATGAGATTATTTAGCAGGTACATGGTTGTAGTCTTAATTTAAATACTTTTTATCACATTTGTTAAATTACATAATACATATTGTAGTGGTGCTTCAGTTTCTTTTAAAGCTGTCAAAGTTACTTGCATTTTTAACATTTTCCAGTAAAGACGTAAGATAGTATGCTTGTATTGATAGTGCTGCATTTTCCATGGTTAAAGGTTGTTGTTAATGAATGTGTTCTGATACGTGTTTAACAACTTGTGCCTTACTATGCGGCCATTCCACGCGTAACGGATGGGAAAATTTTCAAGTTTTTATTTACAACATAATATTGTTCTATTATATTACCAATGTCAAATTTTTATAAATAGTTCTAAACAAAAGCTGTTTAACAAGGTTTTTATTTGGCAAAATTAGGTATTGTGGTTGACTGTTTAATTCCTTAATAATTAATAATTTAAAGCGTCAACCATGATACCTAATTTTGCCAAATAAAAACCTTGTTAAACAGCTTTTGTTTAGAACTATTTATAAAAATTTGACATTGGTAATATAATAGAACAATATTATGTTGTAAATAAAAACTTGAAAATTTTCCCATCCGTTACGCCTGGAATGGCTGTATGCTTTCCATTAACTAAGGTGTACTGTTTAGGTAAGTTTCTCTTTTAATCTGCTATGGTTGAATTTTGTTTATTGTAAAAAAAATAGCTAGCATGTATAATCATGATCACTTTGGGTATTTAATTGAGATGTTATTAAAGAGATTTCCGATTGTGTGGGTCTTTTAATGGTGTTTTTGCTTCCTTTTACTTTGTTCATAGTTGAAAAAAAAGTATTTTGTTTTTTTATTTTTTTATTTGCGGGTTCTAAAAATATATGTATATATAAATAAAACACATTATACATAATATGATAAATAGTTTTACTTACCCTGGCAATTTTTATTGTCTGTTATAATTCTTTTTTTAGAATCACCTTTTTGTATGCTTGTTAAAGCAATACAATTTTGCAAAAATTTCAAAATTTGGGGGCCAGTTTCGTTATTTTCATACACTGAATCAGGAATTTCTAACAGTTGTGTGCATGCTTTTTTTATTTCATGTGATACATTTTTCTTGTTTTCTGTCAGCCCATAGTTTGACAATGTTTTAAGATTTAAAACAGTTTCTTCCACACATGGGTTTATTCTGAATTCTGATTCATCTTCCATCTCTTTATTATCAACTTCAATATTCTGTACATTTAGTTTAATGAAATGAATGTGCTTACATATGGTTCCTCTTATGTAAAAGTCCGCACATGTGCATTCAAAATCGTGAATGCATATTTTGCAAAATGAGCAAGTTAACTTGCAGTTTTCATCTGAAGTTTTTTCATTTCTTGAAACCTGATATTTTCCATTTTCTGTTTGTACAATCCAAGTATGATTATTTTCATTAGTAATTTCCATCTTACTAGTTAATGCAACCCGGTGCCTTTTGTGAATGTCTTGAATATGACAATTATTCTCTCCTTTTGTAATCTTTATCAAGCGGTTCACAATTTTGTCTCGAGTATATTTGAGAACGGCTGTTATGCCCTTATCCAGTCGTTTCACAGTTTTCCCATCCAAATAAAAGTACTTAATCGTTTTATGCATGCTCTCAAGTACCTAAAATCAAAATATTTATTAACAAATGTATTATATAGGGGAAACACATCAGTAATTAATATTAAATACTGTTTCCCTCCCAAAAAGTGAATTTAATAACAATAATACACATGCAAATATCTAATGTAACATGTTTATCTATATATCTACAAAAAGTATAAAAGATAAGTGGAATTATCTGTTATTTTTAAAAGTATGACTACCAAATATTAGTACTACAAAACAGTAAAAGCATTGAAGACTAATTACATGCCTGCTAAAGCAGTTTTCATTAAGAAGTTAATAAGCTTTTAAGCAATTGTAAATATTTATATTAACCAATCACCATATTTGTATTAATACCACAATTCTTTCGATAGCAGAAGGCCCACATATGGCAGTTATTTGAATATTTTTTTAAAAAATATTCAGCAAATTCTTTAGTATCAGGGTTATTGTGAAAAAGTTTTTTTACAGTGTCAAAATTCCTCTCAAATACTGGTAGTGTTAGAGCACTTTGCAAAACTTTGAGGGTTTGATAGACCTGTTTCCTGGTCTCAATTTTTGGAATTTTGGATAGGTTAGTCCTCCATGCCCTATCAATGTGCCAGGCACAGTACAATCTGTGTGGAATTTCACCCCCCATAGTGGCCTTCCATGCATTGTAATACACCTCTGTGATGTCACTCATAAATACATTTGGGGTTATTAAACCAGCTTTTTCTTTAATTTTTTGAAAGAAAATTTCAAAAACAAGGGTGTCTTTACGATTGGTGAACATGCATGCAACAGGAAATCCTTCACCAAACTCATCAATGACCATTAGAGTGGTTAGTTCAAAGTCGTACATATTCAAACCATGAGTGCTATCAATAGCAACTACAGCACTACCAAACCGTTGCAACATATTTGTTTGTGTAACATTCATAAAAATTATGCAGAAGTCATTAAGAGCAAGTTTTTCAAAATGCTCTCCTTGCTTTTTGTGCAAAAGAACAAAATCTTTTGATTGGTCAACCAAAAGTTCAACACTTACACTGTCATTTTCATGTCTTACTCCCTCCTGGATATTTATGTTAAATGCTGTTTTTATGTTATTGATGTCTTTCCTTGTGATTATATCACAACGAGACAACTTTTCCTCCTCAATAGAGTTCCTATAGGAATCTAAAATTCTAAAAAGAAAAAAAAATATATTGTAGGTAATTAATAATTTTGCCAATGTAATATATTACCTGACTACTGGAACCCCACTTGACAATCTGGCTGAAATATCAATTCTATCCTCTCTTGGTATTCTAATATGCTGAACTTCCAAGTCATGTCCATAGTGTGTTTTAAAATAGTCAACTCTATACTTGTCCATATTCATCTTTTTTAAAATTATCTGACTGGTACAATTGCTGTTGATTTTACAACTCCCTTGACTTTTTAAACATTTGACTGTGTTCTTATTATTGTCTTTAAAGAGTCCTGAAAAGTGATAAGCAAACTATAAACTTAATCCACATTAACTACAAAATATTAAAATATATGAATCAAATACCTGATCGGTTGCAGTTAAAATATGTCAGGTCATTTTTCTTCATACAGTTATATTGCACGTTGTTATTTTTGCAAATAGTATTTTTCCAATCATAAAATTCTAAAAAATAAATAAGTATAGAAATATACTATTAGTAATAAAATGAGGCTTATATTTCCAAATCTCACTCTTTAACTAAAAAAAATTGAAAATTTCATAATTTTGGTCAGTCAGTTTTGTAAATTTATGACTCAAATAATATACAAACCCCCTTCTGTTGAAAAATACAGCGTTTCATTTTCAATAATTTTGCTGTGACAACTCTGAAGGTGTTCTCTCAGATGTGCAGTGTATTTAAAAGAAGTTTGGCAGTTGTCTTCCAGGCATTTGCTAAGATATTTATGGAAATCATTATCTTTATGTAGGTTTTCCATGTGTTTATTAAGCTGTATCTTTCTTGCAAACACTTTAGAGCACGAATTGCAGACAAACGGCATTGTAACGTCCTGTCGTTAAAACCACTACACAACACAGATCAAAAAACTACACAAAAACAAAGTAAAATGTTACACAAAACAAAGCAAAATGCTAATTAGCATAATATAACAATTAACCAAACACACCGAAATCAACAGGTTACTCTAAACCACTTATTACTCAATGCTCTAAACCATATAAAACGCTAGACCATAGAAAAAGTAGATTAGGTTAGACTAGCTATTTTAGGTTATGTTGAAATTTGAACATTGCGTACGATTTGGCAACGCAGCTGTATTTCTTCAAACTTCTAGCCGCTCCTCCATATAAAGGTATAAAACGTAGATAACCCCAAAATTATTTTCAGGGGGGTGAAACATAAGCGGGGGAATTGGAAACATGACTCCCCCACGATGCGTTGCCAGTTCGTGCACAGATTACAGTAACCTGTAATAAAAACAAAACGCACCACTTTCGGCAACGTCGTAAAACCAATAATTGTTTAACTGTCAAAGCAAGTTCTGTTTATTAAGTAGGATTTGTGTAATTTTATGGTACATTTTCTTCATAGAAAAAGTATATTGTTTCCAAAAAGTAGATTGTTTCCAAGTTTTATGCCTTATGGGTTTGATATTTCATATAATATATAACATATTATGTTATATATGTATGTAGTTTGAAAACGTAAGTATTTTTTTAAATGTAGGTATACAAGTATGTATGTTTGTATGTAGGTAGGTATATCTTTTGAAATAAGACGAATTAAACTGCTTTGCTAAAAAACCGACAAGTTTTAAATATAGTAGGTACCTATAGGTTTTTTGTTTGTATGTAGGTAGGTCTACAAAAGTTAAATGGGTATTATAAGTTTATTAATAATAAATTATAAATAAATTATTAGCCAAGTTTTACTAATTATTATATTTTAATAATATTCAATTTCATTTTAAATCTACTTTGTAAAGATCTACCTACATATTAAAAGGCTTTTATAACCTTAATTTCTAATAAATGTACCTAATTTATCTTCATATTAAAAGGCTTTTATAACCTTTATATCTAATAAATGTACCTAATTTACATTATGTACTTGTACAGAATACCTATGTATTTTCTTAAAGCAGAACTATTTTAACTATGTTGATTTTCATGACTAAGGACAAAGAATAGTTAGTTCTGCTTTAAGTAAATAAGTAAAATGCTGGTGCATTTTTGTAAAATCTTTGAAAAAACATTTTGAATTAAATTTAGCATTGGGTAATATTTTTATTATGACTATTATTATTAATATTAAAATTTTACTAATGATAATGATATTTTTTTAGTTTTACTTGAAAGAAGGTTTCACAAACTTTGTGCCACAAAGAAAGTTGGTGATTTCAAGTTTTATGATATTTTGGGTCCAGGACATATAGTTTGAAAACGTAAGTATTTTGTTGGTGGGTACAAATATTAGTAATATTCAAAATTGCTTTCTAGCAAAGCTTGGGTTTCCACGATTTTTCTATGGCTTGGTTACGAGGGGTAAACCACTTTAAAATCTTAGAGACAACCGTTCAATGTTAGTGGACATTGTGTTGAGATTTTTTTCCTTATCAGTTGTTATCAATAAGGAAAACTTGCTTAATCGGTGCTTAATCAGTGCTTAGCGACGCGTTGTACATGACTACCCTTGTTATTGTTATCCTTAGCCGTTAATTCGTAAGCGATTTTTAATTTTAAAAATCAGTGGTTTACCCCTCGCTTGGTTATAAACATTTGAGCTTTAAACACCTTAGCTAGCTACAAATTAAACAAAAATATTACAAACTGTAAACATGAATATTACAAAATTTATTTGTAAAAATTTATAATTGATTGCAAACAAAATTATTTGAAATTGAAAACTTGCCATTTATTATAGAAGCAGTTTAATTCTTTTTGTTTTATTTCAAATGTTAACTCTTATAAGTTTATGAGCCTAAATATTAGTTTTTAACCAAGGTTTACTAATTGTAATAATAGTCACTTTCATTCTTTTTCTATGATTCTAAATCTACTTCTTAAAGATCTAAACACATGATAATATTAATTCATATTTAAGATATATCTATAGTATAAAAAGCTTTTATATCCTTAACTAATGAATTTCTAATAAATTTAATTATGGTTACCTATAGAATATTAAAGCAGAAATATTCTTGTCAATATGCCTGACTAAGGGCAGAATAGTTGAGTATTGGTTTTGATCAGGCCTCTTGTTTTTGGGTCTTAAATAAAAAATATTGGACTTTATCTAATCTATGCTTCAACCATTATAAAGGGTGATTACAGACGAAAATGACCCCCATGAACTAGTTGAATTTTCGCCGGGAAATATTTGTTTTTGACCGGGCGCTCCTCAGTTCTGCTTTAAGGGGATGGTATAATAATTATATAATATAATTCACAAAAAAAAGCACTAGCATTTTAAATCTACAATTATTGTAGCAAGTGACCATGTTATTAATTTTACTGATATAATTTATGTCAAACTTTATCAATATCTTGATGAACATGCTCTCTTGCAATATTTAGAAAGAAATTTTAGGCAACTAAATAATTCACTTTTGGATGCTTTTTGTTTTTGTAATGTCCATAATTGCCACATTTAAATTTTTGAAAAATGTGTGCGCCTAAATATTTTTAGATATGTTAAAGAAAAAAATGCATCCAAAAAGGATTTAACTGTGACATTTCAAAAAATTAAAGGCCAAATAATATTTTTTTAAATTTTATTTTTTAAAAGACTGTAGAATTTTTTTTTAATTTAAATCTTATTGGTGTTAGAATGTATATTTATTTTTACTACCTATATTTATTAGGGTGATTTTTTTTTTCACGACAATTTTTATTTTTTCGCTCCCAACTCAAAATCTTGTTGAAAATGTTCAAAAAAAAATTCTCTGAAAATTTGAGCCCTTAATATTAACTCAAAGTACTCGACCAAAGCGTATAAAGATTTCCCATTTAAAATACACGTAAACTTTGATTTTTTTTTTTTAAATATCTATATCTCAGCCGCATTTTATGCTATTGGATTGTTTCAAAAAAGGATTTACTCGTAATCAAAAGTTCTACAAAAATACTTTATGTGCCATAGCTGTAATCTGCACATGTAGGATGGTACGGGTCACTAAATCTTATTTTAGTGAAAAATTATCATATTTTTGAAGATATTTCAAAAGTGACTGGATTCTTTGAAAAAATGTAAAGAACAAACTTGTAGAAAATTTAATTTTTTTTAAAAAAGGTCCTATCCCTTGAATCGCTAAGATTGATATTTCTTGAGATATAAAGCGTTTACATTGACAATTTATGAAATTTTTAGGATTTTCGTGTCAAACTTTGTATAAATGATGATTTTCAATTGTTTATCAGTAAAATTTCATGTAATTACGTTTTTTCTACAGTCGGGTGATTAGAGAAAAATAAATAACTCAAACAATCAAGCATAATTATTAATAAAATAACATGTTGTAATACACCTCGTTATATCAATTTTTAGGTTAGATATATCTTTTTTCTTTAAAGTTATGTTATTAATAATTATGCTAGATTGTTTGAGTTATTTATTTTTCTCCAATCACCCGACTGTAGAAAAAACGTAATTACATGAAATTTTACTGATAAACAATTGAAAATCATCATTTATACAAAGTTTGATACGAAAATCCTAAAAATTTCATAAATTGTCAATGTAAACGCTTTATATCTCAAGAAATATCAATCTTAGCGATTCAACTGATAGGACCATTTTTAAAAAAAATTAAATTTTCTACAAGTTTGTTCTTTACATTTATTCAAAGAATCCAGTCACTTTTGAAATATCTTCAAAAATATGATAATTTTTCACTAAAATAAGATTTAGTGACCCGTACCATCCTACATGTGCAGATTACAGCTATGGCACATAAAGTATTTTTGTAGAACTTTTGATTACGAGTAAATCCTTTTTTGAAACAATCCAATAGCATAAAATGCGGCTGAGATATAGATATTTAAAAAAAATAATCAAAGTTTACGTGTATTTTAAATGGGAAATCATTATACGCTTTGGTCGAGTACTTTGAGTTAATATTAAGGGCTCAAATTTTCAGGGAATTTTTTTTTGAACATTTTCAACAAGATTTTGAGTTGGGAGCGAAAAAATAAAAATTGTCGTGAAAAAAAAATCACCCTAATATTTATATCTAAAGACTGCCCACAATATTTTTGCTTAACATTGTTTTTTATGTTTGTTAATTGGTTTTTTGATTTGTAAAAGGAAGTTGGAAGTTGGAATTTGGAAGCCATGGGACACCAACCTGAGAACATAAACCATACTTACATTCATGCATGAATTCAACAAAATCTTTGAATAAAGTTGGAATCAGGAAAATATGGAAAACCAACCTAAGAACATAAATCTTAATTACATAAATGCAATACAAACTACAATTAAAGTGGGAATATGAAATCTGCTGTAAACCAATCTGAGAACATAAACAATCTACAATACAAATTAACTCTTATAAATCCAAGCTAATAACTTCAAATGGGACCCAATCTACTATTGAAAAACTTTGGTATTCAAGTTAACTTTTGTAAATAAAAACTGCATGCTATAGCATGTATACAGAATCTTTATTTGAAGAAAGAAGATACTTTTGCAAGATGTTGTTCAGTAGTTAACTCCTGTGAACTACAAACTATAATCAATCAAATTGAATAGGCTTTAAATTATACAACGTTTTCTATGATAAAAATTCCAAAATATGTTAATTATTAAATTGAATTTTTGTAATTACATTTTAATATCTTAATAAAAGATATTTTTGCAAGGAAATAATATTATTGTCATTATATTTTTGTAAATACATACTTTTACTTAAAATATATACATATATAATGCATATAATATTATTTAGTTAAGAATATTAGTTTTTTGTTTAAATTTTTAAGGGGTAGTATTTTTATTCTTAAATTTGTTTTTAATTCCACTAGATCCTGTACTAACTCTTTTTTTGTAAGATTTTTAGGACTGATACATTTTATGTTGATATTGGACAATTTTTAGGAATATACAATATTCAAATTTATAAAAACAAAATATGATATAGCCTTTTTCTACAATTTTAATCATTGTAACTAACCGAATAAAGTTAAGCATATTAAGATATTTTGACCAAAACATAAATTTAACGATGCAATTTTATACGCCCTGTATACTTTATTTTATTATTTGGTAATAAAAACGTAAAAATAAAAGAATCTTAGACAAAAAAGTCGAAAAAACGCATTATAGGTATCAATCTCTATTCAGTTTCATTTCAACTTTGTTCAAAAATATGCTTAACTTTTTTCGATCAGTTTAGTTTGTACACTTTTAGTCACAGAATATTTTAAAAATCGTATTTTTTCACATAATGCATTAGGATTTTTATTGTAAATAAACAAATGTTTCACTATTTTGTTTTTTTTTTAATAAAATTAAAAATTATTAAAATAAATAAATAAAAATTTAAAAGCCGGCCCTGGTATGTCAAAATCAATATGAGCTGAGTCCGGCCCATCAACTAGGGGGAGTCATGATAGACGTGTTTCCCTCGTTTAACACAGAGGGCGCACTTCTTATATCCTTTTTCTATGTTTTTGTGGTTAAAGGGAATATCTTATCTTATCAATGATAAGCAATAATTAAACTTGAAATTGATGATATTCAGTGAGATTTGTGCTTAATTTAGTTGTCAAGTGTACCTAATTAGTTAAGCATTATGGATTTAGTGAAATTTCCGATTAATTCTTTAAAATTAAGAATTAACACACAATTTTGTTCCAAGGAACCATGGCAAGTTGTAACAATTACTGCCTCAACTGTATTCCTAAGTGTATGGCTATATGAATTTATTTTTCAAGATGAAAGTATGTATTTTCTATATGAATTAAATTTTAATAATCGGACTAGTAAAATTTTGGTATATTTAATATATATCTATCTAGTATACTTTATTAGGTTATTAAAAAATATATACCACATCCATTTTTAGGTACAGTGGGGTCATTCCACGTTACTCGGGGATTTTTGTCCCGCCCGTCACAATTAAAAATTGTGAGTAAAAACTACACGTTATAAAATTTATTTAAAAATATTGTTTTATTATGCTTTTAATAAGTTATAAGCACAATAAAAATAATATTATAAAATATTAATTTTATAACTTGTGGTTTTTACTCACAATTTTTAATTGTGACGGGCGGGACAAAAATTACCGAGTATCGTGGAATGCCCCAGTGGCAGATACGGAATTTTGAACGTCATAATTTGTTTGTCCATGTAGAAATCTCAAGATAAATCTGTAAATCATAGAAATAGCAAAGATACAATCATAGAAATAGCCTGTGTAGGCTCCATGGATACAAAATTGAGGATTTTTGCTTTTGCTGTCAAAATGACAAAACTAGTGACAATCGGAAGTAAGGTTAGTTGTCCATAAAGGAAGTTTAGATTTTGATGTAAACCATAGATATCTATGATATCAACATGATTCAACGTTCAAAATTCCGTGTCCGCCATTGCACCTACTATGGTGTACAATTTTTTTAAACCCTAAAATAACATAAAATGGCTGCAATACAATTCGCTACTGCGCGTAAATAAGGGAATAAGTTAAAAAAATGAGAAAACTGCTTTAAGTAAAATTATAAAATAAAAGCATTGACTCAACGATAAAAGTGTATCACTGTGTAAAATGTATCTCGTACTAAAAATACTAAAAATCACTGCAACACTGCACATCATTTAATGGGGGCCTTTTTTGTTGTTTACAATTCTTGTGCTTTGGGTTTGTACAGATTAATAATCGTTTTAAACATTGTTTCTTACAGAGAGACTTGCAAGCCTTAAAAGAGACCTCGAAGTGGTAAGAACAATCATTTTACTCTTTTGTAAAAAATAAACCTTATTCTATCAAGGGCCTTGATTCAAGGCTGTCATCAAACTGTCAAATGTCAATTTTAAGGTTATTTTATAACCCACAAATTAACCTTCAAATTGACATTTGACAGCGCTGATAGAATAAGGTTTATTTTTTACAAAAGAGGAGTAAAAGGATTGTTCTTACCACTTTGAGGTCTCTTTTAAGGCTTGCAAGTCTCTCTGTAAGAAACATTGATTGCAAAAATAATTCAATAACTTTTTTATTGTAAATAAATACATATTTTTTTAAGCACACTTTAAAAAATAAATATACCTACCTAATTTAAATTTTAACATTTATTCCATTAATAATTAGTAATAACGTTATTAGGGGGTCAGACGATATTAAAAGACGATAAAATAAATCCTCGTTTGTTGCTTTTCGATTTGTTTTTCTAGAAAATATCGATTTTTTATAAAAGTAGTTACTCATTTTAAAAAATTACAAAATGCAATAGTCCAAGTTAAATTTGCTTTCGTTATACCTATATATAAAATATTATTACCTTATAAATTTACTATTATAATAGTTTTTACCTTTAAAGGATTATCTATTAATTAAAACCTAATAATTTGTTACGAATAGGTAATTAATTATTAATCCTATAGGATAAGTATACTTTGTATATATTTTTTAAAAAGTGCGATAAATAAAAATTCATAACTTTTCCGTATGTGCGTTTATGCAGCTAATTTTTTGTGTACAAATAAAGTAAAGTTTACTAAAAAAATCATGTAAATATCAACGTGGAAATCGGAGTCAATCGTAGTTAAATGCCTAATGTTTTTCTCTCTTCATTTTACCAATGTATTTTTAAAACGTTATAAGTTATAACTTTTGATTTTTATTTTTTTATTCAAATAGGGATTTTTATATATCTGTCCCCCAGAGCCAAAGTAGGTCAAGTCCAAAAACCTGACTTTTGAAGGATAGATTTGAAACGCGGGATTTTCTTTTTTGCATTATTATTTAAAGTTTTAAAGTTTTTATGGAACTTATGGAACAAAGTATTTTTTGTGGGTTTCATATAAATCGTGCTTTAAACAACAATGCAGATGAATTTTACAGGTTTTAGATCCTTAAACTGCTCGAAATAAGGTTAAGGTCACCTTAATAAGGTGTACTTTAAACTTATTTAAAAAAAAGTATATACATTTTTTTGTTTGATTGTATAGTTTATTAAGTGTGTGCGTAATTTTTAGCCAATTTTACTGTTTTAAAAACATTCTACCACTGACTAAGGAACTTCTTGCCTTAACGATTCTACTTTGAGGTTTCATAAAATCAAATTATTTAAAAATAATTCTTTACCAAATTCTATTGCTTTAAGATGTTTTTAACAAATTATTGTCATAAAAATACCCATAATAAAAAGTTATTAAAAATGTATTTTTCCCGCCGATAAACCGTAGGCCGCTTCTAATTTTCTATGGATTATTTTTATTAAGGTTCATCTAGGGCAGGGCATCTTTCTTCCAGAACAAATTTATGACAGTGTTTGCTACAGTGTCCGCAAAAATAAAAAATATACCATAGAAATGACAATGGCAGTGTATGGAAGGATAACATTGATGCAGTCAGTCAGTGGCGAATTGTGTAATAGTCTATTACTAATAGAACAAAGGGAAACATGGTGTTACTATTGGTACTCCACATCTTTATTTGGTATTTCTATATATAAGTATATAGGTCTGTACAGGAGTTTTTAGGTCATGTTATTTTTATCCGAAAATCCTTATAAAAAGTTCAATAGGGCTCTATCGGCATGTATTGGTCAGGAGGCAATTCCCTATAGAACCATATTGGTAGCGTATGGTAATTCTCTATACATTTTTTATCGGACCGTATCCGGAAAAAACATGAATAGATTATTTTTTGTAAGTCTCTATGGGATATTTTAAGCAGTGACCCATTTGTTTGCGACTCCCCCTGTAAAAGCTTTATTTGTTGTGCGATTTTAACCGAATTTGCTTTAAAGGTTAGATCTACGTTGAAAAATTCAAATTTTTTAATATTCCAAATATTCTAATAATTATTTTTTTTAATGTTTTTATTGAACCCAAAAAAACAAACGTTTATAACAGGTTAACTTAAATAATTAATCAGGCTTTTGTGTTTAACAAAATAATATAAATATATATATATATATATATATATATATATATATATATATATATATATATATGAAACAAATTATAGTGTGTTATTTCTAGATAATAAATAATTTTTTATAGCTCTGTTAAAGTTTATAACAAGACTTTAATACTATTTGGAAGTTTATTGTACCATTTCACAGCCGTAGTAGTTACTCTCTTCTTTCCAATGTTTCTTGCACTAAGTTTAAGACTTTCTAATTTGACAATATCACACACTTTAAGAAGGTTTAGTTCGCTATACAGCTCACTAGTTCCATAACGCATCTGTTCTGGGTAATTTGTAGTTTTTCCATATCCTGTTTTCTGGTTTATCCCCAAAATGGTGGTAAATATGACATGACTGAGTAAGCATAGGCAGAGTGTATTTTGAATTTGGTTTCTTGATTGAATTTGGCTGAATGATACAGTGGATAGATCAATTTATTTATTTTGCTCCATATGCTTTCTACATGTTTGTCAAATAGTAATTTGTTGTCTAATATCAAACCTCGGTATTTTGCAGTACCTAGTCATATCCTTAAGTGTAACGTTGTTGATTGTTAAGTATAATCAGTTTCTTGGGATTCCTTGTTGAAAACGAGATAGTTGCACTTGGATTCATTTGTCCATTCTGTGATGGTATCCTGCTGGGCATCTTCATATATTTTTTGCATTGTACCCGAATAGAAAATAGCAGTGTCTTCGGCAAATAGTGTTAAGTTTCCATTTAGTTTCATGTTGGTCAATTTATTTATATAGATCAGAAAAATAATAGGTCCTACTACCCTGCGGCAATCCACTGATGATAACCTCAATGTTGCTTTTGATGTCATTTATTTTTGTACATTGCCTCTTTTCTGTAAGATAACTTTTGAAAAGTTTAAGTGGTTTGCCTTTTACTCCAATTGATTTTAAACTGTTTATCAAAATATTGTGATCTACTACATCAAATGCTTTTTGAAGATCCAAAAACTGTATGTCCGTTATCAATCTTTTTATATACATATTCCAATAAGGAAGCTACTGCTGTTTGAGTATTTCGTTTAGTTAAAAATCCATTCTGGTGCATTTTGCAAGCAGTCTTGTTTTTAGAGCTACTTCAAATATTTTAGCAAGTATTGATAATACGGATATGGGTCTATAGTTGTTTGCTTGAGATTTTGATCCTGTTTTATGAATGACTAATTCTTGCTGTTTTTAATTCGTCTGGAAACGTTCCTTGTTTAAAATGGTTATTTAATATTTGTGATATAGATGGAGCTATAATATCTTTGATGCATATACTTAAGTATATGCTTTGATGTTCTTCACAATTTTCGTTTTAATCCCATCGTCACCTGGTGATGCTTTGTTCTTCAGATTATTTATGATCTTCTTAATTTCTTCCGGGGTGGTTTTTGGTAGGTACATTGATGTTGTTTGGAGATTTGTAGGTATACTATGTTGATTTCCTTGATTGCACTTTAATTTCTGGGAGACTTATGAAATAATTATTAAAGTAATTTGCAATCTATTTCTTGTCAGTGATTTCCTCTTTGTTGTCAGTTTGAATTACTAAGTAAGTAATTATTACTTTAATATCATCTTTACTTGTTTATTTGGTGTAATAATTTGCTTAATTATTTTCCATTGCTTATCAGGTGATCCCTCACTACTTTCAAATCCTTTTTGTATATATCTCTGTTTACTTTCTTTTATCATAATCTTTACCTTTGCTTGTAAGGATCTAAATTTTTAATTCATAATTCGAATTGAATATTCTATTCGATTCGATTCAAACACATTTTCACACCCCTACTTTAAGGTAGTA